ACACACTCTCTCACTCAAAATAAATAAACTTAAACAAAAAAGAGAGAGAAAGAGAGAGAGAGAGAGAGAGACCCTTTCTGAGCATTCTGGAGAACACAGTACAGACTAGATTTCTACTTCTACAGGGCCCAACTTGCACACTGAACAAGCATTTGTAATAGACTTGTGTAAATCGCATGCATCATAATGTTGCTGAGTGATTGCCTCTGCCTACCACTCCTGCTGTTGCTCCTCATTTCCCAGAACAGCCACAGAAAAGAAAGAGAACTAACCTTCACAGTGCCCGGCCACAGCCCTCAATGAATTTACTGAGCTCTTACTCTGTACAGTCAGTCATCACCAAAAAAAACTCAACGAGTTAGATACTATTTTCCCAACTTTACAGATGAAAAATACAATGGCCCAAAGAACTTAAGTAATCTCTATAAGGCACACAATTGAGATATCATTCAAAGAGGCTAAGTACAGTGTACACAGTGAGTTACGCTGGGTCTGTCTGATTCATTCTTATCTTTGTCTCACTATACCACACCGCTTCACAGAAAACTGTTTCCTGCCATTTACATGGTTGTACATTCTCAGTTATGGCCAACCCTCATCTTTATTATGCGGCATTGACCTTCAATGGTCTAATTTAACACAGGTAAGCACACAGGTTTCTCATTTGTAAGTGGACCATTTGGCAGGCAGCATATGGAAACAGACCCTTTGACAAAGCCATAAGGTTAATTAAGTCTAGATTTTAAAGTATTTTTCTAAAATCTCAAAGAAAGAAAACATACTTTAATGATAATTTTGACTACTATCTAACAACAAAGTGATATGCTGGGTGCTATAAAACTACATTATAACATCTTGCTTCATCCTCAACATATCCTTATGAGGAAAATACTATACAAGCCCCCATTTTTCAGATGAGAAAAATGTGACATTGAGAAGCTACTTGCTAAAGATCCCCTGGCTGAAGTAGTGGAGCCAAGATATGAATCCAGGATATCTGTTACCAGAGGCCACACACTTGTTCCTCTATATTACCTCCCCTGATAAATTGAACAGTTCATGATAAAGATCTCAGAGAAAATCCTGTAGCATCTTAGACTATTAACTTAAAAGTAATTACTCTGAGGGCTTATGGGATGGTGTCATGATGAAAATTGCAAAGAAAAGGAGATTTTTGTGTTTTTAAAATAATTTCTTGGATAATATTAATTTCTTTGGTATGTTTTGCATACCAGATTATTAGTACCTTTTGGGTAAATGTCATGTGTTTGACATGTTTCCTTCACTCACTCAATCATTATTGAATCATTATTGAACAATATTGATCTGTAGCTATTGATCATGCCTAACACTGAGCTTGGCCTATAATAAACTCAAATTTTTATTGAATGATTAGTTCCAGAAGAAAGACGTTTTACCTGAAGTTTTCTAGATGTAGTTCCATAAGAATTAATCATGAATGATTTTGATAATTTCATCACCAAATTATTAAGACAATATTTAACAGGTAGGGGTTGAGTTTGAATCTATGTGTAATGTAACAACTTGTGAATTGGTGGCAGTCATCAAATGTTCAGTAATTATAACCTTTTTTTCTTAAGAAAAAGAGAGTAAGTAGGAGAGGGGCAGAGGGGAAAGAAGAGAGGAGAGAGAGACAGAGAGAGAGAGAGAGAAAGAGAGAGAGAATCTCAAGCAGGCTCCACACTCAGCACAGAGATGGATGTGGGGCTCAGTCCCACAACCCTGGGATCATGACCTGAGCCAAAATCAAGTTAGACACTCAACTGACTGAGCCATCCTGGCGCCTCAGTAATTATAACCTTTCTAGAGAGTAAGTAAATTGAAAATATTTATTTGCTTTTTCTGTAAAATTTTAAAAGCTCTCTAACATTAGAGTTGGTTAATATCAAATGTCTGTAGTTCAGTTTTTTTTTTTTTTTAGTTTTATTTATTTAAGTAATCCCAACACCCAATGTGAGGATCAATCTCATGACCCCAATATCAGTGTCCTCTACCTTGTTTTAGAAAGTATAGGACATCCTTTATTTACAGCAAGTCAACTCACAGTTCTCATTCCAGGACTCTGCCTACCACCACCATGTTCAACTTGTGGTGCTCTTAGTGAACCCAGAACAAACAAGCATATGGTGCCCAGACTTTTGATGAAGTGCATTTCTACCTTATTGCAACAAAAAACCCTGCAATCTGATGTCCAAAGCCTATACCTTGCTGAAGAAATATATAAGAAAAATAGATATGCAAAACAAATCTTCCTTCATCCATTTCTCAAAAAGCCATTAAGTGGCCTAAAGTTTATCTAGAAATCATCTCAAAGGTAAAATTAAAATATTGCCATAGCCTTCTGTGACATAGTGGAAAGGATGTTGGAAGTGGTTTTGGAGAATAAGATTTTATTTTTTTATTTTATTTATTTTTTATTTTCTTAAATGTTTTCTTTATTTTTGAGAGAAAGAGAGAGACTGCATGAGGAGGAGAGGGCTGGAGACAGAGGGAGTCACAGAATCCAAAGTCAGTCTCCAGGCTCTGAGCTAGCTGTCAGCTCAGAGCCCAACGCAGGGCTTGAACCCGTGAACTGTGAGATTATGACCTGAGCCAAAGTCAGACCCTTAACCGACTGAGCCACCCATGCGCCCTGAGAATTAGATTTTAAACCCAGGTCTAACTACTATGCAATCTGTGTGGGTAAGATACTTAACCTCTGCTTCGTCATCTGTAAAATAATATTCCCCTCTCTGGGTTGCAAAGGTTATAAAGGTTAAAAAAAAAAGGTTATGCATATGAAGTTAAGCAGCACCCTAAAAAAAGTCAGTTTAATTAAAGCCAGAAATATGTTAATTTCTTTCTTTCTTTTTACCAGCAAAACAAACAAATTTAATAACACGCATATCTTCTGTGTACGCGGGAGATACCAAAGAAACTGACTCCAAAAGATGCCTCTTTCTCTGCTAATTTGTTGTTTAAAAAAACAACAACTAAGAATTATGAAGAAATAAGATCTTTGTTCATTTGCCCCTACCTTCCTGGTGTTCTGGTTTATATAAAGAATTTCACCATTGAGGAAGTCTGTGTGAGCTTTACATCCCTGCCACCCGGGCAAAATGCCTGTCTTCATGTAAATACATGAGAAGAATATCATGTGTCAGCTTAAATAATGAGAGTTCATGGCACTGTATTGCATCTCTTAGAATCTTTTTTATTTGGTGAAAAGCTTTTTAACTTCTCAATTATGACCAGTCTCATTCATTGTTTCACAAGGTTAAACAGCAGATGTCTTAAGTATAGAACAAAATATACCCCCCACCCCCCCAACACACACTTCTATTTTTTCCTTTCCTCCCCTGGCCTATTCTTAGAGCTTAGAATGGACCACATTACCCTTTAGACTGACACAATGGACTAGCCAACCCTTTTTTTTTTTAAATTGCTTTTAATGTTTTTTTATTATTGAGAGACAGAGCCTGAGCAGGGGAGGAGCAGAGAGAGGCAGAGACACAGAATCCAAAGCAGGCTCCAAGCGGGGCTTGAACTCACAAATCATGACCTGAGCTGAAGTCAGACACTTAACAAAATGAGCCACCCAGGCGCCCCGAGCCAGCCCTTTGAAAAACAGCTTTCCAGTTTGCTCATTCATACCTTCTTTAAGCAGAGATGATTGTTTCTAACTTACAATGTCTTTTTTTCTCTGACTCCTAATGAGCTTCAGTCGACCAAGATCCTTTTCATATTACACAAATATTTAAATAACAGAAGAAATGACAATGTCCAAAACGAATTCCAAAGTGAGATATTTTTCCCTTAGGTAAGCCAAAATATGAATTATTCTGTCCGTCTATAATGAAAAGTTAACTGAACTCATGCTAGTTTGTCTCTAACAGCATTAAGCTGCCACTTTTTGATGAAGTTCAGTAATTTAGTCCTGCAGCATAATGGCAGGATCAATGGACAAGGAGTTAGAAGACTTGGACTCTATTTTCAGTTCTAGCTCTGGCTCATTACCATTACTTTGCCCGGACCATCTTCTATTATTACTTGGAATCTCTTATTCTATTAGCAACACAGAAAGATTTGGAAAAACTACCGGGTAAGCTAACAACGAAGATGCAGCTGTCTTCTTTCGGCAGTTGGTGTGCCCCCGTGGTCTCAGGCAAGAAACAGTCTAACTTGGCATCTCAGTTTCTTTATCTGTAAAGACATGATAAATTATCTCTTCCTCTTTTCCTCCCAATTCCCTCACAGAAATGCAGTAGTGGAAATAGTATTAACACTAAAAGATTTTGGATCTCTCTAGGCTGTTGCTTCTAAAGAGAAAGTCCTTTTTATATTTCAATTGGCATTTTTAGGTATTTCGTGCTCCCTGAGTTTGCACCATATCAATTCCTTTTGGAAAAGATGACTACATAAACTGTTATTCTTTGCAGAACCTTTGCAGAAATAAAATGGGCCATGGAAAATACGTTTTAAGAAAAAAAATTATTTCACAAAATTTGTGATTGTTGGAAGTTAAAAATTCTTCTGATTCACATTATCACCCTAATCATTTTAACTTGAAAGAAACAGCTTGCTAATTCTCAGCTGTCTATTGCCATGCTGTCTAGGTAGCAATACCAGCTTAAAAAATGGGCATACTGCTCAGTTGATCCTGGTTATTCCAGGATTTTTATAAAGTACCTGAGAAAAGTGTGTAGGTAGTGGGATCTTAAAATCTAACAATAGTTGACAGATAGATTCTAATCTTGGTTTTGCATGTGTGGAACCTAAGAATGTTACAGGGATTTTCACTTATCTCATGTAAATAGGAACATTGACAGATAATAAGTATATCCTATCTGCTAAAAGAATTATTATCCTTACAATGCCCATTTTAATTTTTAAAGACTGTAAGGTAAAGTATTTTGTTATACAATCTCTTTTGTGTGTGTGTGTGTATCCAAAATGTGTTTATTAGGATGCTTTCCCACTTTTTTTGACTCAGGGTGCTTTTAGTGCTGTTTCTGTCTGAAGGAGCATCCTTCTGTAACTTTTCCTCCTGTGGTCTGGCAGAGGACAGTTGGAAGAGTCAACATACAGACTACCATTTGTGCATGGCTAAAGATGTTGGTGATTTCATAGTATCCTGGGTATTTCCTGGCCATAAAGTAGGAATCAAGGCTCTGTACCAGTTGCTTCTTCTTGCGTTTCCTCTTCTCTTCTGGAGAGGGATGGGGCATCTTGCTCAAGGCGCATATCCCTGTGGAGAGGTTGTCACTGCTGGGAAGGCTGTTACACAGTCCCTTTGTCACATTAGAGTACTAACAGATCCAAAGCTTAGACAGTGAAGGAAAAAAATTCTCAGACTAACACATGAAATCATATTAATGCAAGACAGGTCTGAGACTGAAAAATCAGTTTAAAGGGTGAAAAGAAAAAAGGAACATAAAGAACCAAAATTCACTGCCAAGGAAGACCCAAGATGTAGAGGTGGCCTGGTAACTGACAGAGATTCTTACGGGCAGGTCAGAACTCATATGACTAGCAACAAGTATTGGAGATTAGTCACTAGGAAACTGGAATACAAAGTCAAGAAATCCAGTTACTTTGGTTACAAAAGATACACATAGAAAACCTACATAACTCTTTGAGGACAGATCTTCATTTACTCATTTAATAAATGTATTTTAAACACTAGACACTCTTTTAGACACTGGAAAATAAGCAGTGAATAGAACAAAGTTCACTGAACTTGTGTAGCTAGTTGGGGAGGGGGGAGGGCAGAAAGTAAACAGATAAATAAGTAAAATACATAGTTTACCAAAAGAAATAAGTTTATGGAGAACTTCTGGGTTGCAATTCTATTTTTTAAAAAAATTTTAATGTTTTATTTATTTCTGAGAGAGAGAGGGAGACAACGTGAGCAGGGGAGGGTCAGAGAGAGGGAGGTACAGAATCTGAAACAGGCTCCAGGCTCTGAGCTAGCTGTCAGCACAGAGCCCAACACAGGGCTCGAACACACAAACCGTAAGATCATGAGCTGAGCTGAAGTCAGACATTTAACCTACTGAGCCACCCAGGCGCCCCTGGGTTGCAATTTTAAACAGAGTGATAGAGAAGGCCTCACTGAGAAGATAGCATAGAAGCAAAGACTTGGACTAGACAAGAGGGAAGGAAACAGTCATGCAGCTATCTATAGAAGAGCATTCTAGACAGAAAATACAGAAATGCAAAGAACTTGAGGCAGGATCCTGCCCAGCACATCTGAGGGATAGTAAGGAGGGCATCATAGTTGGAGCAGAGCGAGGAAGGGGAAAGAGTAGTAGGTGGTGTCAGAGAAATAAGGAGAGAGACACCAATTGTGTTGTGCTCTGAAGATCATTGTGAGGCCTCTGGCCTTTACATTGAGTGAGATGAGAAACTATCAGAGAGTAGTGAGCAGAGAAAAAGCACAACATAATTCCAGTGTAAAAGGATACAACTGACTATTATTTTGAAATTAGACCCAAAGTGGGCAAATATGGAAGCAAGATCATTTAGGAAAGTATTCCAATAATCGAGGTAAGAAAGAATAGTAACTCAGACAGGCTGGGGGTGGTGAAGTGAGAAGTGACTGGGATACGGATACATTCTGAAGGTAGAGCCCTCAGGATATGCTACTGGACTTGAAATCAGATGTGAGAGAAAGAGTGGAGTCCAAGATGACACCAAGATTTTTGGCTGGAAAAACTGGAAAGTGGAGATGCTCTTGATTGATACAGGGAACAATGTGGGAGCAGCCTTAACCTTCTTTGCATCTTCATGTCCTAGTGCAAATGCCAAATACATGGGAATGTTCAGTGACTACCAATAATCTAATCTGAATCTAGTTTCTATGCATTTGAGATCAAAGTTGTTGTATACAGGACTGACTCGGAGTTACTACACTGGGCCTTTGTTCTAGACTCTGGGACAAGGTTAAAACCATTGGTGTGCTAGAGCCAACTTGTACTAGCTAGCAAGAACCAACAGTTAAATTTGGGGGGATATTGCAAGCCAGGTGTTAAATACAGTTGTTTTGTAAACTTACAGCTGGTAACACACCTTAAAAACAAAGGTAAAAGTACTTAAACTTCATCACTTCCTAATTATTTTACTATGTTTTACTATTATCTATACCCTTGAGGTTATTTATGTTTGCTGTGTCTGTACAATAGAAATACTATAGAACAGTGTGCTACTATCCACCTCCTCCAAACTCTGTTCAGTGATGTTATGCAGGTAGCTTTAAATTCGCCATGATGTGAGTATTTATGATACAGAAATTGGCAAATGCTACAAATGAGGCCTCCACACGCCCACCCCCCCATCACTTTCCTGCCCCCAGAGCTAGTTAAATCTGTAAGTGGAAATTTAGCCATATTAGCTTTGAAGGCAATACTAGGGGATGAGCAAACTGATACATATTTTGGAAATATGCCCAGGTACAGGCACTGCACAGATTATTATAGTATTATAGCAATGGTTATATGAGAGGTTTTCCCTATTCTGGTGAGGGGGGGTTGGGACTGAGGAAATTGTAGTAGGAGATAGACACACAGGGAAATTCCACATAGGGAAAGACAGGCTTTAATGATTGATCAAATCAGGAATTGCTGAAAGAGATTAGCATCTACAGTTAATCAGTGCCTTAATAGAATAAACCTGGAACAAATTACAAACTATTAACAGAGGAGATTAAAAGCTTTGGACAGCTTATTTGTATATCTGATATTATGAAGAGAAAATGGGGACTAGTCAATGTCATGGAGTAGTGACTGCATATTTGTAAAACTTTCCTGTATTAAAAATCTTACATTTTATTGTCAGGCCTTGTAAAAAAGAAACACCAGGGATACTAAAGACACTATTTATTCCTATGAGACAGCTAGAAAAGCAGCACAGTTTAGTTTTGTTTTGATTTTACAAAGAAGGAAGCTAGAATCCAAGGAATATAATATAAATGAGTTATTTAGGATAACAAAGTAAGACAATTTGGGGGAGGAAGTATGTTTGTGTGTGTGTGTGTGTGAGTGTGTGTATAATAGACAACAATGAAAAAGCCCACAACATATAGTGATTCATTTTTCAAGAGAAGCAGAAATAAAAATATGTACGTTAATTAAAATGTGGCAATTAAAAAACAAAAATGTGAAAAGATGCATCTATGAAAGGAGACTATGAAAAAAGAAAACATTTTCAGACTCCAGTTTTCCTCAAATCTTTCTACTGCACTGATTCTAAATGGTTCCAAAACTGTTTTTTTCTTATTCCTTAAATATATTTATTTTTTATCTCCCATTATCCCCCAATGGCTTTTTGTTCAAGGCTCAATCTTTTCTATTTATAATGTTTTCTCAAGGTTGTTTTGCATAACACAGTAAGACTTCATATTTAGCAGAATCACTTGGTTTGAGCATTAGTCTTACTTCCCCAGACATATTTATGGATATGAAGATGTGGAATTACTGAGTAAAAGAATAGGAACATTTTGATGGCTTATGGGCTTATCAAGACTGTAGTGATGTATGAAAGTACCTGTTCATTGTATCCTGGCTTATTTGGTACTATTGTTTAAAATATTGACAAAGTTGGGGGCGCCTGGATGGCTTAGTCGGTTAAGCGTCTGACTTTCGCTTAGGTCATGATCTCGCGGTTCGTGGGTTCAAGCCCCGTGTCGGGCTCTGTGCTGACTGCCAGCTCAGAGCCTGGAGCCTGTTTCAATCTGTGACTCCCTCTCTCTCTGACCCTCCCCTGCTCACGCTGTCTCTCTCTCTCTCTCCCAGAAATAAATAAAAAACATTAAAAAAATTTATAAAATATTGACAAAGTTCCTAAGTGAAAATGGACATTTTGTTATTGTCTTGGTTTGTGTTTGTTTGATTACTAGTGAAACTGAATCTTTATTTCATGTTTGCTCACTAATATTATGTCATTTATTATCCATTTCTTTTAGGCCTAGTGCACTTTTCTTAGTTTACATCAATTTCTTAATATAAGAAAGATAACAAACCCCTTTACATTTAGTAGTTTTTGATATTTTCCCATTCTATTGTTGCCTGTTTACTTTGTTTATTTTAAAAAAACCTATTCATATTTTCCTGTGATTTTTAAAAAAATGCTGCTAAGTTTCTTCTGGTTTTTTCTTCTGTTTAACATTTTATACCTATTCTTTAATTTATCTGGAATTTATTTTGACCTATAGTTTGAGATTATCTAAACTATTTTTTTCTAAATTGATAACCATTTTGGAATGGTTCTTCCTTTTTCTACTGATTTGTAAAATCCCCTGTATTACACATTAAATTCTAATATGTAATGGGACTATTTCTGTATGAGGCTATTTGTTTTTACTTGTACTTCCCTATTTTAATAGAGTAGCTTTGGTATATTATTATATTCAATTGGTTTTGCCCTTTTTTGTAATTAAAAAGTTACCCTTCTATTATTTACATTCTTATTCTCCCAGATCAAATTTTAAAATCATTATAGTAAAAATAAATAAATAGATAGATAAATCATTGCAGTTGTTACAAAGACTTTGATAGCAATAAGAGTTGTTTTTTCTTTGATAGGATAATAATTATTTCCTCAACATTACTGATTATATTACCACTTATTAACTAGGTTAACCAAAAAGAAAGAAGTATATAAAGTTAACTCATGCTATTAAATTCTATAGGATTGTTCAAAGCACTTCTAGGTCTCAGAAGTGAGATGGAAAAAGATTTTTTAAGACTTAAGAGTGACAAGAACATCTATGCAAAGTTCTCCCTGGAAGGCTATTTTATGATTTGGAAGGAAAAATATTTTTCTTTGAAGCAAATAAATGCAAAGAACATAAAACTCAAAGTGATTGAAAATATAAGTTTACATGTCTTTGAGTATATTTCATATCTTGTAGTAAACCTTGCACAATGCTCCTGAAACTGAAGCCTGGCATGATGAACAAATTTAATAATAGTTGCTTATATTCATTGTTCTAATTTAAGTTTACTATAAATATTAATTTGCCTGAGTATTACTCAGAGCCTCCTAAAAATTAATATTTTCTTTCTCAAATTTATATTTATTCTTCAAAAATAATATAATTCTAAAAATACACATAAAAACTGAGAGAAGTTGAGAACCTCTGTAATCTAATTATGGTAAATATTTCTTGAAAAAGTGGAATTTGTATTTCTGTGTTCATTTCATATTATTCACAATAGCCAAGACACGGAAATAACCTAATGTTCATTGAGGGATGAATGGATAAAAATGGTGAATGTATGGACAATGAAATATTATTCAGCCTTAAAAAAATCTTGCCATTTGTGAACGTGGAGGGCATTATGCTAAGTGAGATATACCAGAAGCAGAAAGGCAAATACTGTGTGACCTCACTTACATGTGGAATCTAAAGTAAACTCATGGAAACAGAAAGTAGAATGGTGGTGTTTGGGGCTACAATAAGATGAAAATAGGAAGATATACTGGTCAAGGGATACAAAGTTTTATTTATACAAGATAAAGAAGTTCTAAAGCTCTAATGTACAATAATGTAACCATAGTTAACATTATCATATATTTGAACTTTGCTAAGGATGTAGATCTTAAGTGTTGTCACCACACATACATACATAAAGGTAATTAGGTAAGGTGACAGATATGTTAATTATCTTGGTTGTAGTGATTATTTCACAATGTATACATATATCAAATCAAGTTGCATACCTTAAATATATACACATTTTTAACTGTCAATTATACTTCAATAGAGCTTGGAGGAGAACAAAAATTAAATTCCACTGTCCTAACATGAACTAAGCTTTCACACTTTTATTTATTTTAATATATATATTTATTTTCAGAGAAAGAGGGAGAGCACACATGTGGGGGAGAGGGGCAAAGGGAGAGAAAGAGAATCCCAAGGATGCTCCACACTCAGCACAGCATGGAGCCCATTGTGGGGCTCAATCCCACAAACCTGAGATCATGACCTGAGCCAAAATAAAGATCAGAGGCTCAACCTACTAATCCACCCAGGCACCCCTAAGCTTTCATGCTTTTATTTACTTATTTATTATTTTTTAAAAATGTTTAATTTTGAGAGAGAGAGAGACAGAATGAGAGAGAATGCGTGTGCAAGAACGGGAGACGGGGGAACAGAGAGGGAGGGGGACAGAGGATCCAAAGTAGGCTCCACATTTTCAGCATAGAGCCCCATGTGGGGCTTGAACTCATGAACTGTGAAATCATAACCTGAGCCAAAGTCAGAAGCTTAACCAACTGAGCTATTCAGACACCCCAAAGTTTTCATGCTTTTAAATGGTTCTCTACAGGGCTCCACTATACCATCTTCTCTTTAACATATGAGTGTAACTCAGATGAAAGGTAGCATAAATATTCAATTTGAAGTATTTCCCTAAGAGTCTATGATAATTCTCTAGAGTTTTATCCACAGTTGTGCCTAACAATGTTTAAGTTTCTTTATTATGTGACAAAGGCATCAGTTCTCTAAAAATAGCCAGGAAACTGGACTTGCCCAATAGCAACAGAACCATTCTTTGTAAATGAGAAGCAGAAGGTATGAGTGGGAACTCACAAAAAACAGATTCATGTGCCCTACATTTCTTTTTCAAAATGATTCTATCAAGGATATTTTATTATAATCTTGGTTTCTGTTATAATTGGTTCCCATTTCAAAAGGAGCTGGCCATGTTAGAAAGAAGAGCTGGGGTGCCTGGGTGGCTCAGTTGATTAAGCTTCAGGATCTATGATTTCAGCTCAGGTCATGACCTCATGGTTCATGAGTTCAAGCCCTTCATTGGGCTCCATGCTGACAGTGTGGATCCTGTTTGAGATTCTCTCTCTCTCCCTCTCTCTCTGCCCCTCCCTGCTCTCTCTCTCTCTGAAAAATAAACAAACTTAAAAAAATTAAAGAGTATCTAAGGGTTATTAATTTATATGTTCCCTTTTGTCATTTATAAAGTCTTTGAGATATGATTTAACTTTCTCATCTTGCTTTTATAAACTCTTGCTGTTAAAACATGTGTCTTCTACCTTTGATTAGTCATGTTCCTTAACACTGGATATTTATACATTTTAAAAAAATCTCTGTAATTACTTGATTTCCGGTTGCTGAGCCTTGCTTTGTTATCTTAACAAAGCATAAATGGTGTCTGCTGTGGAACTGGGTTTACTCAGGCCATTGAATAACCACACCCATATGATTATAGATTTGGTAGTCACCAGAGAGTGGTACAGTCAGCATCAAAATATTATGCCATGGGCATTTATATGAACACGATTTCTTAAGGAATCTGGACATCAGCCAAGAGATTCACTAAACACCAGGGACATAATGCTTATTTTACATCTCTATGAAATCAATAAGCTGAAAACTTGATAACAAAGAGATTTCATGGTTACAAAAGTACTACTTTTCATATGATATTTTCCAGAGCTCAAAGAAAGTCTACCTCCTCTCCTGCCATGTCAACCAATAATCTGCAATTGTCTGAATTATGCTGGGAAAATATAGAATACGAAAATTCTTGGTGTACCTGTGTAGCTCAGCAGGTTGAGCATCCAACTTCAGCTCAAGTCATAATCTCATAGTTCATGAGTTCAAGCCCCACATCAGGCTCACTGCTGTCAGCACAGAGGCCACTTTGAATCTTCTGTCCCCTCTCTCTCTGCCCCTCCCCTGCTCATGCTCTCTCAAAAATAAACAAACATTAAAAAAAAAGATTAGGGATTCTGAAGGAAAAGTGGTAATAAGTAAATGTAAGACTTAGTGCTTTTTCAGTTAACAATCACAAACTTTTAAGAGCTATCTGCAATAATGAGTAAGTTAACTATAACTTATTTACACAATGGGATATTATACAGTCATTAAAAATAATGAATAAATGTCTTTATTGACATGCAGAGATATTTGTAACACATAAGTTGGTAAAAGGAGCTTATAAAAACATGATCTCACTTTTGTTTAAAGTAATAAAAAATTATACTTGTATATATGCATGCAAATATATGTGTCAAAAATATAGCTGGTGTTGAACTAAATATAATTTTAATTTTCTTCAGACCATTTGTATTTTCTGAAATTTTTACAATGTGTATTTTATTATTTCATAATCAGAAAAAAAGGATATTTCTATTAAAATTAATATATACAAATGTATATGAAAAAATAATGTATATGAATATGTATGAATAATATATATGAATAATATATAAAAATAATATATATGAATATATATGAAAACAGGTTTTCTCTCTTACTTTCTCCAACTTTTTTTTTTAATGTTTTATTTATTTACGAGAGAGAGAGAGATAAAGAAGGGAGGGATGAGCAGAGAGAGAAGGAGACACAGAATCCAAAGCAGGCTCCAGGCTTTGAGCTGTCAGCACAGAACCTGATGCAGGGCTCAAACCCACAAACCGTGAGATCATGACCTGAGCTGAAGTTGGACGCCCAACCAACTGAGCCACCCAGGTGCCCCCACTTTCTCCATCTTTCAATTCTGCTTGCCTCTGATTGGTGTAGTACTAAATACAGGTTCATCAGCACATATGGGTTCTAGTCCCAAAGTGGGAAAGATGAGCATCACTGGTAATCCACAGTTAACTCCAGCAGATAGAGACAATCTTCCCTATGAGCTCCAGCTACAAAAATCATAGGGCAGACTGACTGTCTTGACTTGAATTGGGACCAAATGTGGAGGGGACTGAGAGGTAGGGAATAGGAGACACAAGTTTCTGATAGGACAGGTTTTGGCCACATTATTTCCACTGTACCCCTTAGTACACCCCAGGGAGAAGAGGGAGTCTGCATTGATTTGGTTCCCAATAGGAAAGAGGAGTTTTACCACCTGAAAAAAGGAGGAGGAAATGATGTTGAAGAGACCAAAATAACAGCCATTCCAATACTCATTCTAGACACTTAAAATAATGATAATGACGTTCTTAAAGAGTTACCACAGGGACACCTGACTGGCTTAGTTGGTAGAGCATGTGACTCGATCTCAGGGTTGTGAGCTTGAGCCCCACAATGGGCATCAAGATTACTTAAAAAAAAAAACAAACATTAAAAAACAGGGGTGCCTGGCTGGCTCAATCAGAGGGGCATGCAACTCTTGATCTCGGGGTCATTAGTGAGATGAGCCCCATGTTTGATGTAGAGATTACTTAAAAAAAAACCAAAAAACAAAAAACAGAGTTAACCACAGCTTTTCAGTGTTTGGGAATTAGAAACCACAATTCAATACCTAAACCACAATACTTATCAATACTTATTCATTCAATAAGTGTTCAGCAAGTATCTACCATAAACTTTGTAGTCTATATCTTACTGGGATGAGCAATAAACAAGCAAAACAAATAAAATACTCCTGCCCTCAAGGATCTTACATTTTCAGACATCAGAAATAACTCTAAAGAATGAGTCTGAAATTGGCCTCTGGCTAGAAATTTTACTGCAGTAGTTGAGATAAAAGAAAATGCAATTTGGCTTTCATATAAATTTTTTCAACTTGTCTGTGCTAAGATCTGTACTCTTGAAATAAATTAAGCTGAATCATGAGATTTATAAGCTAATGAGAAGAGTATTGGCTTTTGATATTGATGGAAAATTACATTATCTAGACATACCCAAGGTGTTCTGTAGCATCCTTGAGCTTTAACTTCTATGTTACCTAACCTGGCCTTACAGTGACATTGGGCAAACCAATCTCATGGTACATATTCAATTTCAAGTAAAAAGTTTTATTACAGTTGACTGGTAGCAATGAGCAAACTTTTTTTTGCAGGTAAATTGGTTAAAGTGTATGAATCAGAGCAAGGCATTATTGTTCTGTTTTGTAACTTGTTAGTATTTATCTACTACAGACTGCCCATCTGTGCCCCCATCTCCCCCAAATTCATAAGTTGAAACCTAATCCCCAATGTGACGTATGTCAAGATGGAGCCTTTGGAGGGTGGTTAAGTCATAAGGGTGGAGACCTCATGAATGGGATTAGTGTCCTTATAAAAGAGACCCCAGAGAGCTCCCTTGCTCCTTCTGCCATCTGAGGACACAGCAAAAAAGTTAGAGAGCAATCGATGAACCAGGAAGTGGCCTTTATCAGACACTCAATGGGCCAATTTGTTGATCTCCAGAACTGTGAGAAAAATTTTTTGTTGTTTAAGCCACCCCAGTTTACAATATTTTGTTATAGCAGACTGGACAGACTCAGACATTCTTGATATAGCAAACACCTAACACCAAATTTAGAAAGCTTTGAAAGGAGAACAAAAAGCAAGTTTTGGCAAATGCATCTTCATGCTACCCTCTCTCTTTTTTTTTTAAGCCTTGAAGAACATAACAATTCTAACTCCCTAACACAGTGATTCTCAACTTTGACCACACACTAGATTCACCTTTTAAAAAATGCTGGAACTGGGGGTGGGGGTTTGTGATGGAGGGTGGGGATGGGGCGTTGATAATCCTATAAAAAGTACTATAGATGATTTTAATATGCAGATAGGTTTGAGAACTACCTAAACAATAAGACATGTTCACTGGGGTGTGTGTATGGATATTTTTAGTCTATACACTCGAATATGTTCATTTTATCACCAGTCTGACTGTCATCAATGAATCACATTAACTCTTATCATTTACTCACCTTTAAAAGAAGGATAGGGTGCCTGGGTAACTTATTCGGTTGGGCATCTGACTCTTGATTTCAGCTCAAGTCATGATCCTAGGACCATGGGATGGAGCTCCATGTTGCTTCTGTGTGAACGTATAGGCTGCTTGGAATTCTCTCTCTTTCTCCCTCTGTATCTCTCCTCAGTCACTCTCTCTCCCTCAAAAAAAAAACCCCAAAAAACAAAAAAAACACAATACTAAAATAAGGATAAGTGAGCCCACATCCTTTCATTTACCCATCTTCCTTTTATTCTATTTCTCTCTCTCCTTTTCTCTTTCTCATTCATGTATTCATTCAATCACTAATTCATTAAACAAGTATTTATTAGGGATAAGTACTGTGTGAGGTACTAAGGATATAGAAATATAAGTCATACTTTCATTCTAGTATTACATTAGTAAGGTGGTATATGGAAATTAATCATCTTGAGATTCCCAAAGTTTGATTTGAAAAAAAAATATCTGCAAAAAATACACACCAATCCTTCCGCTGGTTGATTTATTTTGTAAAAAACTGTATTGAAGCTTGAGTTATTGTGTTAGGCAAACATCAACACTCCTGACCTTCCGTGCTTTCAGTGAGTCACATAATAAGCCACCCATCTGCTTTTTCAATTTTCAATCTTTCATATATTGAATGAAAAGATGTAATTGCTCATAGTTCATTAGGCTGTACATAAGAAAAGATTCAGATACTATCAACTTTAATTAGAAATTATTCTAATTTAAGACTGTTCAGATGTCTTTAGAATATTTTGTGAGGTTCTATTTCTGATATACCAAATTCCACCCAGAGTCCAGCCACATATCTTGATCTTTAACTCTTATCCAATTCCCAAAGCAGATTACTTTGTAGATGAAGCCAGAACCCTACTTATTTGTTTGTTTGTTTTAAATGTTGATTTTTGAGGGGGGGAAGGGCAGAGAGAAAGGAGAACAGAGGATCCAACTCGGGCTCTGCTCTGTCTGACAGCAGTGAGCCCAATGAGGGGCTCAAACTAATCACGAGATCATGACCTGAGTGGAAGTTGGACATTTAACCGACTGAGCCACCCAGGTGCCCAGAACCCTACATATTTAAAGATAAGCAGGCACTATGCTCTGGACCGTTCATGCCATTTTCCCAATTTTTAAGCTCTAATTTGCAGTATAACAGCTGGTTAAAAACCTACTACAGTGCCCAGCTCTGAGACTAGGATTGCTAGATCCCTCTTGGGAAGTTGGACATTATCGTATTACGGAAATAGTTACTGACACACATTTAAAGCCAAGAACAAATGCAGGCTCACCTCACCCACAGAAGCACCATAATCATTTCTGATGCCGAAGTACACCCACCTAACTCCAAAAGACAAAAGAAAAAAATTTGAATTAAAATCAACATCCGGGGAAAACAACAGCAAGGTATAAAGGGAGAACAATTTTCCTGCCAAAAATAAATTCAAAGCTAATAATTTCCAATACAGCAAGATCTATCCATAGCATAAAGTTCCCTGTAACCAGGAATTTGATATTGGTACTATCACATAATTGTAAATATTATGAAGCATGAATTTGCTCACAAGAAGAGAAATACAATTAAAGGAGAAAAAGAAGAATTGACATGAAGAACAAAAAGTAATTCTATATCTAAGGGCAGACAGATTTACATTTTTGAGATATATAACCATTCAGTACTGTCTATGAATAAATGATTGTATTCTGAGAAATAATATTACTAATAATAGTAATAACAGCTAACAATTACTGAGCATTCATCTTATGCCAGGCAATATTAACATTTTGTCCATTTTCCATACGAGAACAAGGAAGCTCTGAGAATTTATGTAAGCTGATTAAGGTAATATGGTTTATAAATATTTACACTATGATTTGAAACCTAAACCTGTCTGAATCCAAAATCCATGCTTTTAACTATTACCAACCCACTGTCCTAATTTACCACTAGAGATTATATAGCTATAGCCATCTGGGACTTTTTAAGACTTCTGGACCTTTGCAACTACTCTGGGCCTTTTGCAATGTATCTGTCACCAGTAATAGATAAATCTCTAATGGTGATATAGTACACTGGCAGGTAGTTGCAAATAGGAAGCAATTTGTAGCTGCTGAGTGAGCATTGCACAAAGTTCACTGCACCCTCTAGTTGGATGCAAATGCAAAAAACAGAAAGCCAAACCATCAATATATATTGTGGTAACTAATTACAGGAAAGAATATTGCTAAAACTAATTGCTCCTCTTTAAAACAAAAATAAATAAAATAAGTAAAAATAAAATAAAATGAAATAAATAAGGGGAGCCTAGGTGGCTCAGTTGGTTAAACTTCCGACTTCAGCTCAGGTCATGATCTCATAATTCGTGAGTTTGAGCCCTGTGTCTGGCTCTGTGCTGACAGCTCAGAGCCTGAAGTCTGCTTTGCATTCTGTGTCTCCCTCTCTCTCTTCCCCTCCTCCGCTCGTTTTTTTTCTCTCTCTCTCAAAAATAAACATTAAAAAATAAATAAAATTAAAAACTAAGAGTTAAAAGGTTTATAGAATTTTTAAAAACTATTTGTTCTCCCTTTGTATTGAAATGTAGTGAACACACACACACACACACAGAGTCCAGATTTTCTTGGATATTGTTAGCTTTATGGAGATATTAAGTATGTTGAGCTGATGTAGCAACTTCCACCTCTGTTGGGGAAAATTATACTAGTAATGTGACAGGGAGGTGATTCATTTTCAGGTAAATTTTTTTAAATGAAGATTTTTCTGGCAATACTATTTTATTATATTGCACAAAATGGAATGAGCTGACTTCATTAGAAGTTGATTGTGAGTTGTTAAGGACAGGTTTTGGCCTACGATATACATTTTCATATGTTTTGAGCCTACCTACATCCAACATAGGTGTCTATTTAACTTCTCAGCTTTATTTTATTTTATTTTATTATTTTTTAAATGTTTATTCATTTCTGAGAGAGACAGACTGATAGAGCACAGGTGGGGATGGGGCAGAGAAAGAGGAGACACAGAATCCGAAGCCGGCTCCAGGCTCTGAGCTGTCAGCACAGAGCACAACGTGGGGCTCGAAACTCACAAACCATGAGATGGTGACCTGAGCTAAAGTCGGACGCTTAACCGACTGAGCCACCCAGGCGCCCCTAACTTCTAAATTGTAAAACTTCCTCTGTTTTTAAAATTCACCACCCATAACCTGCAGTTTAACAACAATACTTAACTTCCATGTGTATATCTGAATGTTAAAAAAAAATCACTGACTCAGGAAAGGAGGAAAAAAATTCTGGTGATAAGCTTCAGGAAATATAAATATGCAGATATGTAACTTGCTTTGGGAACCCCTTGAAGTGTATCTACATGAACATTTCTTTATAGGAAATGTTTTGACTAATATTTATAGGCTACCTACCCTGTATTGGTCTGTGTCAGAAAATCCAGGGTCACAACCCCAAGGTTGATATTGCTGCTGGGTCCCTCAGGAGGTGAGGTGAAGCTGAGTGTGGTGATACACAGATGCTACCGTTTAACAGCAGCTTCTAGCAGCTGCAAGCGATCTGGGTAGTGCATCTCACACTTCAGGGTGCATAAGAACCACTTGCCCAGCTTGTTCAAGATAATCGAAAGATTACTGGCCTGTGGAAACTAATTTGACAATAAACTATTTGTAAAAAAAAAAAATAAAAAAAAATAAAAAAAAAGATTACTGGCCTTAACCCCAGAGATTCTGACTCTGTAGGTCTGGGTCATGTGAGAAAATCTACATTTCTATGACCACTTAGGTGAGAGGGAAGCTGCATACCCAAGAAATGTGCATTGAATAGTACTAAAAGTATGTGTTACTAGAAAAGTTCACAAATTCTGAATTTTATTTATTTATTTTAATATAATTTATTGCCAAATTGGCTAACATACAGTGTATACAATGTGCTCTTGGTTTTTGGGGTAGATTCCCGTGGCTCATTGCTTACATACAACACCCAATGCCCTTCACAACAAGTGCCCTCCTCAATGCCGTCACTCATTTTCCCCTCTCCTCCCCCTCCCCCCTCTCCCATCAACCCTCAGTTTGTTCTCTGTATTTAAGAGTCTCTTATGGTTTGCCTCCCTCCCTCTCTGTAACTATTTTTTCCCCTTCCCTTCCCCAATGGTCTTCTGTTAAGTTTGTCAAGATCTGCATATGAGTGAAAACATATGATATCTTTCTCTGACTTATTTCACTTAGTATAATACCTTCCAGTTCTACCCACGTTGCTGCAAATGGCATGATTTCATTTTTTCTCAATGCCAAGTAGTATTCCATTATATATATAAGCCACATCTTCTTTATCAATTCATTCATTGATGGACATTTAGGCTCTTTCCATAATTTAGCTTGTTGAAAGTGCTGCAATAAACACTGGGGTACATGTGCCCTTATGAATCAGCACTACTATATTCACAAATTCTGAACTTTAATCACTTTCCTAACTGAGTGCAAATCTGAATGCTGGACAAGGTAAAATGCAGAGAAAGTAGAAACTGGCAAAAGGCATTTCTACTATCCTTTGGCTGAACAGAACCATGAATCTTAGAATAGTAAAAAGCTGTAAGTATTCAATAGAGGTCCTCTTTGAAACAATTTAGAAAGACCCTTTGCTATATGATGATGTTGGAATGGTGTATACAGAAATTAATGAGAATTTAGCCATAAGTTAGAAAAAGAATTCAGCTTGAAGCAAATATCCTGACTCTAAGCCCTTCACAATTATAATTTCATGATCCTGGACCAGTGGTCACTAAACCAGCAGCATCAACATCATGACCTTTGTTTTTAAATTTTTTTTTTTTAATGTTTTATTTATTTCTACGAGAGAGAGAGACAGCGTGAGCAGGGGAGGGTCAGAGAGAGAGGGAGTCACAGACTGAAACAGGCTCCAGGCTCTGAGCTGGTAGTCAGCACAGAGCCTGACGCGGGCCCGAACCCACGAACCGCGAGATCATGACCTAAGCGAAAGTCGGACGCTTAACCGACTAAGCCACCCAGGCGCCCCAACATCATGACCTTAGAATTTGTTAGAAGTGGAACTGGTGGGTCACACCCCAGAATTACTGAATTAGAAACTCTGGGGTGGGTCCCTCCCCAGGGATTTATCAAGCCCTCCAGGTGATTCTAATACATACTAAAGACTGAGAATCACTGCCTGACTAGTGGTTCTCAAATTTACTGAGCATTAGGATCACAATTCCCTGGGAGTATTTGCTTAAGACATAAATTCCTCTTCCTTCCTCTTTGGGGACCTAATTTTTATAGACTTTTGGGGATTCCAGTGTATAAAACAGCGCCCTAACCCAGAGGCTTTCAAACTTTTTTGACCAGGACTGATGTTCACATGAAGACTCGAATGAAGAAACGAATTCCTTGCTTGTTTCATTACCACTTGTTCCTCTGCCTTTGGATTTTGTCAGTGATGAGTGGCCTAACCTGGTCTGTTCAGGACTCCCGGAGCAGGGTGCTTTTGCACCTTTGGGCCCCGGTTACAGCAGCAGAATCCACTAAATTAATTTCTTGACCTACTAATTGGCTGAAAGGTCAGCTTGAAAAATACATTCTGGATCAGTGCTTCTCAAATGTTACAATACATTTGAATCACCTAGAGGCCTTGTTATAATGTAAATTCAAATGTAGTAAGACTGGATGGGGCATGAGATTTTGCATTTCTAACATGCTTTAAAGTTTCACAAATGCTGCTGATCCATATAGAATCCTTCCAGTGGCAAAGCCTGGGCCATAAAAAGTGCAAGAAGGTAACAGCAAACTTGATGCCTCTTCCAGTCATGAACCTATGTTAGTTCTCTTCATGATAGCGAGCTTTAAAAGAAATTGCAACTAGACTGTGGTATTTATCTTGCCCAGGTGTAATGTCCTTAACTGAGTTGTGAGTTGTCCTTAATATCATTGTCAGTAGTTATGGGGTTCAAACTCTTAACCTGTGTGGGTATAAGTGGGTGCTGATTCGCAACAGATCATATTCATTAGTCCATTCATGAGAATCCACCAGGAGATTCTTGTCATCTACCTGATTTAATATCAGAATTAGAAAAATAAAAGAATAACTAGGATCATTTAGTTTTAGAACAATGTGTGTCCTGTGCCACATTATTAAAATATCCCTTCATACATAGGTGAGGAAGTTTAAAGAAGGTGATACACAGTGGAGTGGGAGAGAGAGAAGTGTGTGTGGGGAGAGAGAGAGAGAGAGAGAGGGAGGGAGGGAGAGAATGCTAAGCAGGCTCCACAGTGAGCGCTCAGTATGGAGCTGGATGCAGTTCTCAACTCCATGCCCCTGGGATCATGACCT